TCGACATTGAAAAATAATCGTTTTTTTTTTTGATAGAAAGATTTCTGTAGTTGATTTTGTTTTAAATTTTAATCTTATTATATATTTCTTTAATTTCTTAGATTTCTTTAAGTTCTCTTGAAGATTTCAGACTAATCCTCAATCAAAACATCTTTGCAGACTGGGATTTCGCGAAATTAATTAGGTCATGAGTCAAAAAAAGTCGATTGAAGGTGGATTCTCAAATCTTTTCATTAAAATTTCTAATCTTTTTATTCTTTTTCTTCATTAAAAGCCCCTTTCTACTTGAAGAAATGAGATTTTTTTGGTTTTTTTGTTCGGAATTTATGCATTTTGTGACTTTTGAAAGTTTTCTCAATGAAAAGAATGATTTTGATTAAAAAAAGATTATTAAATAATGGTTTTTAATGAAAAAAATTGTTTAAATAAAAGGAAATAGAGGAAAATGAAAGGAAATAGAAGAAAATAGAAGAAAATCAAAGAAAATAGAGGAAAATAGAAGAAAATAGAAGAAAATAGAAGAAAATAGAAGAAAATAGAGGAAAATAGAAGAAAATAAAAGAAAATAAAAGAAAATAGAAGAAAATCAAAGAAAATAGAGGAAAATAGAGGAAAATAGAGCAATTTCTTCAACACCAAATTCAAGCAGGAAAGGGCTTTTATCTTTAAAAAAAAGATTAAAATCAATCAAATATTTCATTGTTGAGCAATAGCTCTTTGAAAATATTGATAATTCTTGATAGCAATGCCATGCAATTGTCCATAGCTTATGCTCAAATTTAGCTCAAATTTAGCTCTAAATTATCAGCAAAAAGCCCAGTCGAGTTAACTTGCTCTTGAATCTGTTTACGAGGTTCCCACTAGATTCTGGCTTCTGTAAGTCAAGCCAAATCTAGGACTGGCTTCTGGCAGGTTATTCTGGCAGGTTATTCTGGCAGGCAGGTTACTATAATTGCCAGCAAAATACGATACGAATAGCGGATTACATTTGAGTGTTGGACTTCCAGTGATTAAAAGAACTAGGCGTCGAGGAGTAGTGCGCACAGACAGACACAGCTCTTTTATATCGATTTTAGGTTTTAGGACCAGGGCCAAGCCAGCTTCTAGACTTCTAAAATCGTGTTAAATTCATCCTGCTATTAGGAAATGGAATTTAGGTGGTAGCCGACGCTAATCTATATAAAATGGCATTCTATATAAGGGAAAATAAAAGGGAAAATAAAAGGGGAAATATAAGGAAAGATATAAGAGAAAATTTTTTAATCCCTTCCATTCCGATTGAGCTTTTAAAAGCGAAAAAATCGAAACCTAAAGTGAAAAATATCAAATTTCTACCAAATTCATTCTAGATTAAGGTTTATTTTTAAAAAAATTCAATTAAAAACCTATTAAAAACCTCGGACAGGCACCACAGTGACTCCCTGAAATTTTGATTTAGAGCTAAAGCTAGAGCTAAAGCTAGAGCTAGAGCTAGAGCTAGAGCTAGAGCTAGAGCTAGAGCTAGAGCTAGAGCTAGAGCTAGAGCTAGAGCTAGAGCTAGAGCTAGAGCTAGAGCTAGAGCTAGAGCTAGAGCTAGAGCTAGAGCTAGAGCTAGAGCTAGAGATTCGCTTAAAAGACCGAACCAGGTTGTGGCATTGGATGACCAGACATTACAGGATGTCCTGGCCTCTCTCTGTGATGAACTGAAGCTAAGATTAGTGTCTAGGAGTAAAGTTTCTTTAAAAAGAGTTCTCAAATCTTTATTTATTAAAAGATTCTTTAAGAAATCTTTAAGATTTCTTCAAAAAAATCAAAAATCTTTCAGAAAATGGCTGTTTTTTATAGAAAAATCTCGAAATTAAACGAAAAATTCGAATTTCATTCGGTTCATTTAGCGAATACTAAGAAAAAAAAGATTTAATAAAGCAAATAGAGCATAAAGATTTTGTTTAATTAGAAAAAGAAAGGAAGAAATTAGCAAAAGAAAAAGAAAAAAACACACTTAATCCGAGGAAACAAATTTTTCGAACAAATCAAAAAAAAAAAAAAAAAAAGAAAATGAGAAAATTTTTAATTAGGGATAAGTAATCCGACATTTGCAAATGAGAAAAAATACTGAATGGCTGTGCAATTACAGTAATCCGGTGGCGTAGAAAAGAGATGAGATTCTGGACAAGATTCTCGACAAGACTTCAAAAATCAGCGAAAAATTGAGGCTTCTTCTTGTTTTCTTCTTTGAAATTTGCAAATTTTGATTTGATTTTGTCAAATTTTCGTTTAAAAATGAGAAAAATGAAATGAAAATTGGGAAAATGACCGCTTTGAGGCTTGTCTAGTGTGTAGAGGGTATAAAATCGAGCTACAGTAATCGAGTGAAGTGAAGTAAAGCTTTAAAATAGTCCAGTAATCTAGTTACTATTCGATTTTAACAGATTTAAATGTCAGTTTAAGCAAAATGACAGTTTTAAGGCTTGTCTAGTGTGTAGAGGGTATAAAATCGGGTTACAGGAATCGAGTGAAGTGAAGTGAAGCTTTAAAATAGTCCAGTAATCTAGTTACTATTCGATTTTAACAGATTTAAATGTCAGTTTAAGCAAAATGACAGTTTTAAGGCTTGTCTAGTGGGTAGAGGGTACAAAATCGAGTGAAGCTTAAAGAGTAGTCCAGTACGCTAGCTATTATTCAATTTCAAAAGGAAATTCATTTAGAATAGACAGATTTTGACCGAATTTTGACTAAATTTTGAATGAATTTTGAAGATCTTTATTAAGAATTCTTGAAAATTACTTTATTAACTAGGTTTTTAAATTATCGTGGCTTTTTTGACTCCGGAAATACCCTATTTGATGCAGTTTTTCACGCTGATTCCGAATCTGCAATCAGCTTTTGTCAAACACTTCTCTATCGCGAAATTTATGGCATACAAGTTTTTGAGATCTCTTTATAAGGGCGACGCACTGTCTTCAGTCAACGGCCTCGCTGGTGTAGTGGTTAGTGCGCGCATTTGCCAGGCGTATGCCCTTTTAGACCCCGAGGGTTAGTATTACTAGATTACTGGACTATTTTAAAGCTTTACTTCACTTCACTCGATTCCTGTAACCCGATTTTATACCCTCTACACTCTGGACAAGCCTTAAAACTGTCATTTTGCTTAAACTGACATTTAAATCTGTTAAAATCGAATAGTAACTAGATTACTGGACTATTTGAAAGCTTTACTTCACTTCACTCGATGACTGTAACCCGATTTTATACCCTCTACCCACTAGACAATTTCCCCGAATTCATCTAAACATTTCGACCAAATTAAATCCGAATTCCAGTTGATAGATTGAAGAAAATGAATGCCTCCAATCGATTCACCGTCCCCGAAAACCCCTGCATACAAATTTAAGCCTAAATTTCTACTTTTTAGACAATCGAAAAGCAGGATTTGTCAGCCACTTTCCGGGCTTTTTCTCAGCCATCTTTAAGCCAAAAATACTGCGATTTCAGATTCGGAATCAGCGTGAAAAAACTGCATCAGATAGGGTATTTCCCGAGTCAAAAAAGCTCTTTGGGTCCTAATAGCATGGGAAAGTGGACTTAACATAAAGATAATATAAAGATAAAGATCTTCAAAATCTGTCTATTCTAAATGAATTTTCTTTTGAAATTGAATTCCCTAGCAAGCTCGCTGTTTTTTTTGCCTACTTTTTGTGCACTATTTGTTGTATAAACACACATTTTCTATCAAAAATCCGTTTTTTTAGCAGAGATTTAGGCTAAATGAAGACTTCCTTGTGCTAGAAAGGGTATGTTTAGGCATTTTCGAGAGCTTAAAGTGCGCGGAGACTGGAAAATCAATCAAAAGTAATTCATTGGTCATTAGTCAGTTAATTCAAAAGCAATTCAAAAGCTAGAAATGATTTTTGCTATTTGTTTTTTTTCAAGCTATTGAATGAATTTCTGAACTTGAATGAAAGGTTTTATCTGAAATCCTCCTGGCTGGAGTCAATTTACCAAAAAGCCTTATTGAAAAGAAGAGATTTTCGGAAAAGGACTAAAAAAAGCGCTTGAAAAGCTTTTTTTTCTCAGAATTTTGGGAAAATCGGCAATTTTGAAACAAATTCTAATCAAAACGATTGCAAAAAAAGGCAAAAAATGAAGAAACAGAAGATTTAAAGCTTCAAAGCAAAAAGGGGGGCTAAAGGCGAGGAAAATTGGAGGAAAATTGAGGAAAATTTGGCAGAAATTCGATGTAAAGAAAAGGACAAACGAGTGAAAAGAAAAAAGAAAAGAAGAGGCTTTGTAAAGGGAAAAGAAGAAAGAGTACTATTTGATTGAGATTTCGGATGGAAAATCCGTGAGGAAAAGGTTTCAACAAGACAAATGAACGTTTTGGGGTGTTTTTTAGAGAAAATTCTTTCAGAAACAAGACGAAAATTGAGAATTTGGTAAAGATGATTTTCTAAAATCAGTTTTATTTCGTAAAGATGAATGGATTCAAGGCTTGCAGAGTGAAGAATGATCTTTTCTTTTCCTTTCAAGGTTGAAAAGAAGGCTTTTAGAGCCAAGAATGATCTTTCCGAGGTTGTAATGAAGGTAAAATTGCAGAAGAACAATTCAAGGATCTTTCTGGATCAATTTTGCTATCAAAAGATGAACAGATTCAAGGCTTACAGGGTGAAGGATGATCTTTCGAGGTTGTAAAGGCTTTCAGTGGGAAGAATGATCTTTCTGAGGCTGTAAAGAAGGCTTTCAGTGGGAAGAATGTTCTTTCTGAGGTTGTAAAGAAGGCAAAATTCGAGAAGAACAATTCAAGGATCTTTCTAGATCAATTTTGCTATCATGTGCAAAAATAATGAATCAAAATTGGAATAGAAAAGATGGAAATCTGATTAAAATTTGAAAAAAAAAGGGTAATAACAGAATTTTTGAAAGAGACTTCTTGTATGGCATAAATCTCGCGATAGAGAAGCGTTTGACAAAAACTGATTTCAGATTCGGAATCAGCGTGAAAAACTGCATCAGATAGGCTATTTGATTTTCTAAAATCAGCTTTATTTCGTAAAGATGAACAGATTCAAGGCTTGCAGGGGGAAGAATGATCTTTCTAAGGTTGTAAAGAAGGCTTCTAGAGTGAAGAATGATCTTTCTAAGGTTGTAAAGAAGGCCAAATTGCAGAAGAACGATCCAAGGAACTCTCTGGATCAAGTTTGCTATCAAAAGAGGAGCGGATTCAAGGCTTACAGGGTGAAAAAGATCTTTCGAGGCTGTAAAGAAGGCTTTCAGAGTGAAGAATGATCTTTCTAAGGTTGTAAAGAGGGCAAAATTGCAGAAGAACAATTCAAGGATCTTTCTCAATCAATTTTGCTATCAATTGCCAAGATAATGAATGAAAATTGGAATAGAAAAGATGGAAATTTCATTGAAAATTTGAAAAAATAAGGTAACAAATGGATTTTTGAGAGAGACTTCTTTAAAAGGCGAGTTTAATCAGAGGCAACCAGCTGACCGAATAGCGTAGTGGCTAAGCTGCCTGTCTCTTAGTCAAGAGGTCCAGGGTTCAATCCCGCTTCCGGCAATCACAAAATTTTTCACTCTTTTTTCGATTTAGATCTTATTCTTATGCCTTTTTGTAAATGATTCTCGTGAATTATTGAAGTTTTTCAAAAAAAGAAATGATTTGAGCAATTTCAAAGTACTTACTTTGAGGGAATTCTCATAGAATTCCTCATCAAGGATGACTTTTTTGGGCGGGGCTTTTCGTCGACTTCTCCCCGATGAAGAAGAGATTTGAGTGGTTGTTGATGGGAAAGATGAATGATTCACTGATCCATCCCCATTATTTGAATCACTTTCCGTCGCGGGGACTTTCGTTTCTGAAATCGCAAATTATAGGGGGTATTTTCTAAGAAAAGATCTTTTAATAGTGGTGTTTTTAATCGTAAGCTTAGATTAATCGTAAGCTTAGCTATCGTAGGCTTAGCTTAATCGTAAGCTTAGCTTAATCGTAAGCTTAGCTTCGTAGGCTTAGCTTAATCGTAGGCTCCGCTTAATAGTAAGCTTAGCTTAATCGTAAGCTTAGCTTAATCGTAAGCTTAGCTTAATCGTAAGCTTAGCACACTTTTAATAGTGGTGTTTTGGGTTCCTCGCGAGTAATTTTTCACTCCTATAATTTCTAGAGTGTTTTCCTTTCGAGTAAATAAACCTGTCTAATGTCTAAATGACTCTGTCTAAAGAATGTGTAAAGGATTCGAAAGATATCCAATCTTACAGCTGAATACCACAGGAATTGGTACTGTAGCTTGAAGCTTATGATTAAGCTAAGCTTACGATTAAGCTAAGCCTACAATTACGATAAGCTTAGGATTAAGCTAAGCCTACGAAGCTAAGCCTACGAAGCTAAGCCTACGATTAAGCTAAGCTTACGATTAAGCTAATCTTACTATTAAGCGGAGCCTACGATTAAGCTAAGCCTACGAAGCTAAGCCTACGATTAAGCTAAGCTTACAATTAAGCTAAGCTTACTATTAAGCTAAGCTTACAATTAAGCTAAGCTCAGGCATAGATACTAGGTTTTTAGCATAAATTAGCCAAAGAAATCCTTAGAATTAGATTAGTTGAATACTTTAGATGCGGATATGAGTAGAGTGGGTTCGTCGCGAGTAAGTAAAAGTAAAGTCTCGAGTAAAATCTGCATGACTAATTTCTACTCGATTAATCGACGTTTTTTAGTCGAGCAACTACGAGTAGTTCTCTTTACACGTCGAGTAAACTGAATATCTTTACATTTGAAGGGGAATTCGCCACCAAATCAGTTAAACAATTGAATATTTTTTTTAAAAAATCGTATATAAGTCGTCGCTTCTAAGTATGCGTTTTAAAAGAAAGGCATTACTCGCGAGGAAGACACTCTAGTTTTTAAAGGTTCTTTTAAAGGTTTTTCTTAAGTTTTTAAAGCTCTACCAGTCATCTTGCGGACGCTTGTGCTGTTCGCGTTGTTTTTGGCCTCTGACTCCTGAAATTCTTGGGTTTAAGGGGGAAATTTGAAAGGCATAAAGTGGATAAAGTTGATCTAAATGTTATCTAGATATCTAGATATTTAAATAATCGAATGTCTTACTTTACTTTGCCCATTTGTACCCGTCACAGAGCCATCCATCCACGCCGCATTTGTGGCGCCCTAGAAAAAAGAAATTTGAAATTTAAATTACGAATTAATTGATAAAAAAGACACAAAATATTATCAAGAATTCGAAAAAAAAGTGGAAAAACAAACGCGAGAAAAACAATAAACAATTGAGACGATGAAAAGTTTGTCTTTTTTTTGAATAAATCATGAATAGAATTGATTGGGAAACGGGGAAATCGAATATTCAAAAGCAAAGCAATCAGAAAGCAATGAGAAAGCAATTTTCAAAGATCAATCAATAACAAATTCATTTGTGCACAAATTTCTGAGCTTAAAACTTTAAAGCAGCTTTTTGGGACAATGAATTAGAGAACTTGCGGATCAAATTCGTACCCGGATTTTCG